AACCCGCCTCTGCTAGCATTCCGGACCTGAAGGACCTGGTGATCTGAAGAACGCACCATTCGACGAGCCATCGGCTGCCGTGTTCCCATAACTCTGCCCGTCAGTGCCACCGTTCCAATCGACCTACCCCAAAGTATGGTTTACGCAACTTGACGCTATTCTTGTGGTGAATTTCATCGCAAAACAGCCACTGATGCACGCCATTCTTCTCAACGCCCTTCTGGTAGAGCTGCGCCATCTCGCTGCCGCTTCAACCACCAGTGCGCAGCCTTACAATGCCCTCTGCACTGCGGTGCTCACCTGCTACGGCCTCATCTTTATCACTCCTCCAGCCCACATATCTCACCGCACTGGTGATGCCTTGCAAGTCGCCAGACCATGCAGCCACACCACGACATTTTTCGCCTCCTTTTTCTCACGTGCATTTGCTGAATGGAATGACCTTTCCCACAGCACTGCTGCGACTACCTGCCCGACTTTATTCCTGCAAATTATAACTCACCACCTGTCACCCAATTAACATACGTAGTTGTACAATTTATATATACATATATATCCACCCCTTATGTAACACCCCCAAGTGGGGGTGTTAGGGAACTAAAATGAAATGAAATCTATTGCCCGCTTCCGTTCACCCGCGACTTCCAGGGTTCCTGTGAGTCGCAGCAAGCGGTATCAACCAGCCATCATCCCTGCCTTGATCAAGCCTTCGATTGTCTGGCTACGTCTTCTTTAACCTCTCGTCCGGCCACTAGCGACCCAATTCCCATGCCCGACTGTCCACACGACGGAGTTCTTATTTATTTTATTTTATTTATTTATACAATACTGCAGACCAATTTAATGGTCCAAGCAGGACGGGCAGAAAAAAAGAATGTTCACCCACATACAATGCAATGCAATGTAACAAAAACAATGAAGCAACAAAATGCAGAATTCACTTGGAACTACAAAATAAACAAGCCACGGTGAAACCTACTTTTCGCACAAACATAGCAGGGTTTCCAACCAAATAAAACTAGAAAATCATGCACAACTTCAAGAAACATTGCTAAAAACCCGAACGTCAGTAATTAAAAGTTTCTAAAATGATCGTGTAGGGCTGTCATAAAGTTTCCACTAAAAATTCTTTCTGGCAATTTATTCCAGTCATCTACCGTGCGTGGAAAATATAAAAACTTAAAGGTATTTGTTCGGGCAAAGGATGGGGATAAACTGTGGCTATGTGTGTGTCATGTTTTCCTCGTGGTGGACGGACTAATGAATGGAGTGGGTGAAAATCCAGTCTTACACTTAATTAGGGATTCCATAAAAGCTAAGCGGGCAATTTGGCGTCTATTGTGTAGTGGTTGGATTTTATTGAGTGCCACAATACCTGACGGAGAATCACTTCTTTTATATTTATTATAAATGAAACGAACAGCCCTTCTCTGAACCTTCTCCAATTCGTTAATGTTTTTGTTCGTGTGCGGGTCCCAAACAACCGCTGCATACTCCAGTTTAGGCCTAATTATGGAATTATACGCTAAAAGCTTAACGTTACTAGGTGTACCTCGAAGTTTATGCCGTAAAAGACCAAGTTTATTTAGCGCTGAAGAAGTTACCTGCTGAACGTGGTCGTTCCAATCTAATTTGGAGTTCAATACGATACCTAGGTATTTAAACTTACTAACCTCCTCGATTAAGGTGTTTTTAATTTTGTACCGGAAAGTTATGGGGTTTCGTTTCCTGGTTATACGTAAAAGAACTGTTTTTGTAGTGCTAAGTTTCATGCCCCATTTGTCGCACCAAGATGATATGTCACATAAAGCCCTATCTAGCCGATGTTGATCAGAAGCAGACTGCACTTCAGTATAAATCATGATATCATCCGCGAACATTCCAATATTCACAGTATCACCAACCACAGACACTAAATCATTAACATACAACAAAAAAAGCAGGGGCCCCAGCACACTTCCCTGGGGCACACCTGATGTCACTGTTAGAGAAGAGGAACAAGTACCATCGATGTCTACAAATTGCGTTCGATCTTTCAAATATGAATTAACCCAATTTACAAGTGTAGAAGGAATTCCTGCTTGTTTAAGTTTTAAAAGAAGGCTACCGTGAGGAACCCTGTCGAATGCCTTGCTTAAGTCTAAAAACAAAACATCAATTTGCCCGGAGTGATCTAAGATTGAACTAAAACTATGAACGGCGGTGACCTACTGCGTAACAATAGAAAATCCCTTTCTAAAACCATGTTGGAAGGGACTCAATGTTTTATTTTTTTCCAGTATATTAAGAATATGGTTAGCTACAATATGTTCTATTATCTTGCGACAACAGCACGTTAAGGAAATTGGTCGATAATTGTCAACATGGAAACGGTCTCCATTTTTAAAAACTGGAATTACCCTAGCCATAAGCCAATCATGGGGCAGCACGGACGTCCGAAAAGATTCACGAAAAATGACTGTCAAAAACCGAGCTAAAGATTCTGCATAGCGACGCAGAAAGACGTTTGGGATTTCATCCGGGCCAGTAGTGCACTTAGTATCTAATCGCAGAAGCATTTCAAAAACTCCTTCAAAACTTCAAAAGAAACAAGCTCGATCTGTTCCGAATGAGCCTCCATATAAAATTCATCACCTTGATCGTTTGAAAACACAGAATGAAAAGTCGTTCCTGCTGCCAACGACCAGTCCGCCACAAGGTGTGTTTTTTCTAAGTCCTGGGCCAATGGTCCTTCTGGCACGCTTGCTACGTGCACGTCTTCTCCAACCTCCACAGACCACAACTTCTCGGACATGTCAGAGTCCAGGATGGCCATATTGCCACGCAACCAAGAGTCTGCTACAACCCCGGACATCACGCCTGCTACTCGGCCCCCGATCATACAGGCTTCATCGTCGACAATGTCCGATGGTAACTCTCTATCCACGTCAGTGCTTTGTGCGTCCTGCCAGCAGCCATTAGGATATTCGTCAATGTACCCTGAAGCACAAACACGCGCCCCTTATCATACATGACAGAACAGGCAGGATGCTGCCACCATGACCTGATGCGTCAACGTACGACATGCCTGCTCTGCCTATGGCAGAGCACACCACTCACTTCGCGCCTGTCATAGAGGCAGCCACCTGCCACTGTTGACTTGTGCACAGGCTCTCGTGCACATACTATCGAAGAGGCTTCGAAGGGAACTTCCAAGACGCTGACAGACCCTCCTCAAGAATGCGCCTTTGCTCTGTCCCATAACATGCCTCCTGCCATGTTCTCAACACGGGATGTGAACCAGCAAGCGTGTAACTCGAATGCAGGCATTCCCTTTGACACGTTGCAAGCCTCGTCCACCTCAGCCCAACGCCCTGACCGATCATGTGCTGTTCCTTGCATGGTCCTTCGAGCACGGCGTTTTCCTGTCAGTCACACGAGCACCACTGACCCGCTGCCAACATTAGCAGCCGAACTGTCACTTCTAAGGGCACCTTTCACAGCCACGCCTGCTCGCACTACCTGGAGCACTCACAAACGCATCCACCAACCCATTGTGGGACCTGCTTGTCTATAAACACACACTGGTGCCTTCTTACCTTCGGCCACTACGTTTCTCCATGTGCCGACCACCAGAAAAATCATCACGTCCCTGTGCCCTTTCACGTTGACAACCTGAACTTCCCAAACTGACGCCTTACGTATTGTCTTTCTTATACATATTATCTGTCTTTTTTTCTTTTGTACATATGTTTTCAAGCGAGCAATGCACTAAGGGGAGAGTTTATGTAGGGCCACGCTAGATTTGGCCAGCTGGCCGCGCTGAAAAAAAAAAGGCGAGCCACGAACAATTTGAGAACAGCCTAGCTTCGGCCTAGAACGGCCTAGCTGAGTCTACGTAGCTTCGTAGACTCAGCCTACGCCTGCGTATCGAATAAAGCTGTGACCTTAGTACGGACTCATCGTTGCAGTCTCCCATTCCTCTACACTTTCATCACATCAAGAGTACTCGACTGCGGAGATCGTATGCCAGGAAATTCAGCACTTATTAGGTGTTCCAGAGCTAGCGCAGCTTCACCCCGTAGCCATGACGCACGCTCCTGCAGTCCTTCATTGCACTTCCCCTCCATGTCAACGCTTAGACGCTGCAGTTCTGCAGTCTGGACACTACCGTTTGGGGCACCCCCGACCACTGTGGGGAAGCATGCCACACATACCGACGCTGCCAGTCCGTGGTTTTGCTGTCACTACAGAGCATCCACAGTGTAGAGAATGGCCACAGACACCTGGCTACAAATGATTGAAGATATCGACGTTCATCATGTTTTAAATCACCCGTATGCTAACTGTCACTTCAGTGTCGACCATACATTGATTGGCCCAATTTGGGACTGCTTGCTTAGCTCGTATCTGGAAAACTAAATGCAGCTACCAATCAAGGTACCGTTCCCGTTTGTATATGTAAATAAACAAGAAAACAATAAGTACGCCAATTTGTCTCAGTGCTCTGGCTCTATGACAAATGATTTCAGAAAAACAGGAAGTGGAGGTTCTCCAAGCCAAGATAAACTTTATGAAAGATGACGGGTCAAATAGAAATGATATGAGAGGCACATTCTTTTGCCACAAGGTGCTTGGAACATGTTTTGCTTTGAAAGACTGATCTTTTTTGTACATCTAATCTTGCATTGTATGCGTGTCACTAAAGTTTTGTGCACAGCAAATATCTCAGTGCAGGTTTTGCTTTGGTTAAGCTACTCACAGAGCATGGAAGCTAGGCAGCTAAAGTGTTTGGCAGCTGAACTCAATTACTTATGAGTAGAACTCCTGTCCACGGCAGCACCATTTTAATGAAATAGCAATTAAAGGGGCATCCTTTTGCTTAGATTTAGGAGCCCATTGAAAAAGCCCAGGTAGCCAAATTTAAAACAGAGTACTCCATGGACACCACAGCATGCTTGATATTAATATGAAGGTCTTGGTGTGCAAACATCCAAATTGTTGTTATTATTAATACTCACACATCCCCACATGAGAACTTTTTTCCTAGCTTTGAGTGTGATTTGGAGAGCTGGGCGCGGTGCTTTTCAGCTGCCTGAGTCAACTTGTCAGCCCGCTGAAGCTGGCCCTCACGCTCCTTCTCACGCAGCTTATCGAAGCGCTTGCGCAGACCTCCCAGTTCCTTTTCCAGCTTTGCCTGCACCTTTTGCACAGACTTGTGCTCACGCAGCTTGGTCAGAGGCTCCGCCAAAAGGTTTGCCTCGGCAGATTCTGAAATATAAATACACTATATTAGTAGTGATAGACCAACTTACCTCGATATTAATTCTATTTCTTTAAGCAGCTGAATGTCGACCAGCCCTGCCCAGCTTTGCGTGAGCTGTCTAATTGTTTCTCTAGTGCTTGCATCAAAAATTTCCACTCGCCAAGAAACTCGCCCATGCCACACTGCACATTGTGCAACATGGCACTTCTTCACACTATCATGTTAAAAGGGTACTGACAAAAAAACTTTGGCCTCGCATTTTTTTTTTTTTTTTTGCTGAAATGTGTTGCTGGTGGTCTGTTAAGTGTAACTAGAGGCCAGATTTTCATGCACTAAAAAGTGCATTTTGGGCGCCGAAAATAGGCAGGTAAAACACCATTTTAAGCAAATAACTGGACCACATAAACACCAGAAGAAAGTGGGGCCAGGTTATATGACACAGGGTCAATTTCCCCTCTGTCGGTGAATACTTTAGAGGACCCTCACCAGGTTTGGGCAGTTCAAACTGACAAGCGTAATGGATGCACTGGGTACTCAGGATCACCTCTGTTGAGACTGGCTACGCAATAGGTCGTGAAAAGACAGTAAGTTTCAACTGAATGCCACTTGCCCTTATCGTGGGTGCGGGCCGAAGATGAAGTTAGTAATGTACAGCAAGCAACGGTCTTGCTCTTACGTTTGTCACCATAAGAAACATTCTACGTTGAGCGACTATTCTTCATCAGATCCTCGTTAAATGCTGGATATAGTATATCTAGAAAGACCGACAAAAAAAGGTCTCATTTTCTGACTATATCCAGCACTTTAAGAGGGAATTGATCAAGAGCGTTCCACGTGTCATCATTTTAAGGCCAAGTGCAGGTTGAACAACATCGAAAGATTCGCAGTGCTGGTACAGCTGTTGGAGTTCAGATCGTTCAAATGGTGACAGTTCGTCTGCGATCGCCGAATTGAATACTTTTGAAGCCTGTACATCAGAGTGGTTAGGAGCATAGATGGCGGCAAGGTCACTTTGGGATGATTCTTGCTGCACGGTAAAAATTTGTCCGTCATCAATGGGCTGTACACATCCAAGAGATTTGCCTTTAAACAGTTTGATGGTATACCGAAAGGGATAGGTAAGGCAGAGAGCACTGGCTCCATTAGAAATTGTGAGAACTGAATAAGGGAGAAGAAGTTGCTTTCGAGTTGAAAAAAAGCTGGATGGCTCAAAGAGTGCTACTTCATCACACATGCCCTTGGAGAACACAAGAAGCAAAACAGCTGCTGTCAGTGGAATGTCGGTGTCTTCCCTGACAACTAGCTTGTGTGCGGCTTGATGCGTGATGTCGTAAGGCTGGTCGAACAACAGGAGCAGTTCAAGTTCGGAACGGGCACAATCTATAACGGCGTGATTACGCGATAGAAAATCCCAGCTAAGTGTGATGTCATGAGAGCAGAAGGAAAGGACGATCAACTCAACAATGTAGTAGCCTTCTGCGATTCTGAGTCAGGCAGTGCAGGTGGCTATAGGTCGAACAGGTTCTCCCAGTTCGCTACAAGTAAGGAAATCATATCAAGCAGCATGGTCACTTTTCAGAGCTTGCGGGAAAGTTTGGCATCTATAACGGACACGCCGGCACCGGTATCTACAAGAGCGTATGCATGGGTGCCATCTACAACAACTTCGATGATATTTGACGGCTAAATTCGAGGACTTGAACAATTCAATAGCGCAGTTCTTACATCCTGCACTGCGACAGCTAGTTTCCCTCATCTTGAGGGGCTGGTCGTGGATGCATTGGTGACAAAGAGCGACGATTGGGTGAAGGTGAGCGACGAGACGAAGCTGCCGGATAGTCATGGGAAGATGTGCTTGACTAATGATCCGAGCTTTCGTAACCAGAAGGGGACCAGTCTATGTAGTTGCTCTGTGATCGGGCGTCTGTGTAGCCGGGCATGCGATGACGGCAGTATCAGGCGATAAGGCCAGGGCCAGTTATCTCGGGTTCGCCAGGAATTTGCAGCGATGGGTGCCGCTCACGCCGCATACGGCTGAGTCGAGGTTGTGGTAGCAAGGGGAGAGCCCACGCGACAAAAGACTGAGTAGGAGGGGGAAAATGCGGCAGGACATTGAACGGCGAGGGCTTGTGTGGCTGCTGCCTCTTTACTGTGTCAGAGTAAGTAAGAGGCGCGGCGACGACGTCTTGCTGACAGGGCACTGGCATAGCCTCGGCAATCTGGTCTTGAAGCACATGTCGGAGCATGAAAGCCAATGGGGTCGATGGTCCCACTTGATGCTGCTGCGGGAGCTCTTGGCACTGAAAAAACGGCTGGAGCGAAAGCTGACGTGCGACCTCCTCATGCACAAAGTCTTACATTTGCGCTAGAAAGCGGGAGTGGTCAGGCACGACACCCAGTGCAGCGAGTGGTTAATTAGGCTGAATTAGACGACGGGTGAAAGCTCATTGCCGCCACAATTCATCGTAGCTCTGGCACAGAGTTGCCACTTCAGACACCATGCCAGGAGACTTCGAAAAGAGCATTTGAAACTTGCCGTCCTTGACACCTTTCACAATGTGCTGGATCTCAGCCCCTTCGCTCATTGCAGCATCGATGCACCTGCAGAGACCGAGTATGTCCTCAATATAGGCGGTAAACGTTTTGCCTCGTTCTTGTGCCCGTGTACAAAGGCGTTGTTCCGCGCGCAACTTTTGCTTGGCCGGGCGACCGAAAACCAATAAATATTGCCTGCTTGAAAGTGGCCCAGTTTTCGAACTCAAATTCGTGGTTTGTGTACCACAGCTTCGCCACATTAGCCAAGTAAAAGTTGACGGTGCTCAACTTAGCAGCGTTATCCCACCTGTTTGGTCCACTGATTTTTTCGTAGAACGACAGCCAGTCCTCGATGTCCTGGTATTCGGCACCCGAAAAAATGGGGGGTCTCGCTGGTGAATCGGGTCGGGGCAAGTAGCGGCCACGAGAGGTGGTGTCTGTTGGGCAGCGTCAACTTGCATGACCAACGGCAGGGTGTGGGATTGGAGTTCCAAAGTGTAGGTGATGTAGTTACTCAGCAGGATCCACCAAATATAAAGGGGGTTTATTGAAGGAACTGAGCAAGCGGGTGGTAGCTCGAAAGAAACGCAGGCGGACCCAGATGACAGTGCTCGATCGCCGATCTCGTGCCTTCTTCTCGTGGTGATGATAGTTGAGTTGATGGTATCAACGCCTTTCTTCTTCATTATACTACTACCCCTACTACCCCTACTACCCCTGCCGCCGCCGCCGCCGCCGCCGCCGCTGCCGCCGCTGCTGCTGCTGCTGCTGCTGCTGCTGCTGCTGCTGCTGCTGCTACTACTGCTACTACTACTACTACTACTACTACTACTACTACTACTACTACTACTACTACTACTACTACTCGCGGATGCACAACTAATGGCATAAAGGTCTTTGCCCCTAAATAGTCACAGGATAATTACCGAGTGGATGATGATGAGTGGGGCAAAGCGTCCGTCAGTTCGTCTGTGCTTCTGTCCGTCCATGCGTCCGTACTTGCATTCGTCTGTCCGTGCCTGCATTCGTCCATCCATGCATCTGTTCATCTGTCCGTGGGTTCATTCGTCCGTGCGTCTGTTCATATGCCGATCCGCGTGTCTGTCTGTCCATCTAGTGAACACTAGCTCCAAATACCACCATCTCGCATCTTTTCATCACGTATTGATCATATACAAGTACCACCATACAGCGGACTTCCAAGGAATAAACAAGAGGTGGCTACCTGCAACTACGGCTCCTACTACTACTTACAATACATATATCGCGGACACACGGCCCAGGCCATAAAGACCTTTGCCCCTAAAGAATCACAGCATATTCACTGAGTGGATGATGATGAGTGGGGCAAAGCGTCCATCAGTCCGTCTGTGCTTCCATCCGTCCATGCATCCGTCCAACTGTTTCTTAGTGCACTTGCTCGTGCATCTGTTCCTGCCTACGTTCGTCCGTGTGTGCATCCATCCATCCGTGCGTCCTTGCGTTCGTCCATGCGTGCCCTCATCCATTCGTCTGAGCATGTGTCCATCCTGTCTGTGCGTTCATTCGTCCGTTCATTGTCCACACGTCCATTCGTCCATCTAGTGAACACTCCAAGTACCACCATGTCGCATCTGTTCATCATATTCATCATATACAGAAAAAGCTCGTTAATTCGACACCCGTTGATTCGGATAATTCGGATGGCTCTATTGGTCCTGGCCAAAGTGCATGTTAATCTATGGGACCAAACCTTCGTTATTTCGTCGGAATTCAGCTCCGCACCGCTTAATTCGGACAAATGCTGATGGCTGCTGCTACACAAAAGTGTGATAAAGCAGCGCTGGCACCACTGGAGTGAAACCGAAACCTGAGTGGCATCGCAATCATCATCAACTAGTGGGGGCGATCGCAGCGTCACCGAACGTCGGCGTCTTCTTTCTTCTTCACTCAGCACCTCCGACGCCATTTTCCCTTGTGTTGTCGTGTCGGAACCATCTCTTCTTGCGGAGTTCTCTTTTTCTTCCATTGTGACTGTATTTGCATGCCACCACCATCGTGCGCTACAGTGATGGCAACGCCGAAAAAGCGGCAGAACTACGACATGAAGAACTTAGCTACTAAAGTGGAAATTTTGGAAGCACTGAAGAACGGCGAATTGCGACAGCAGGTTATGACCAAGTACAACGTGAAGCGGAGCACGTTGGGAACGTACGTGAAAAATGAAGAACAGATTCGACAAGCTTTCGTAAGCGAGAAGTTTCATGCCTCTAGAAAGCGGTTGTGAACCGCAGCTCATCCCCAGCTCGAAGAAGCTTTGCTCCGGTGGATTACTGACTGTCGCAACGCGCATCTGCCTTTGAGCGGACCTCTCATCATGGCGCAAGATGAGAAGTACGCTGCAATGATGAAGATTGAATCGTTCAAAGCGTCAGAAGGGTGGTTTGCGAGGTTTCGAGAGAGACACGAACTTGTCTTCAGGAGTGTGTGC